AAATCGAAACCTTTTTTTGAATTTTTTTTTTTTTTTTTTTTTTTTGGCAATGGAAACAAATTTCATTCCAAATATCAGTAAATTCTATCCATTTAATTGACAATTTTCATGTAAAACAAAGTCAAACGGACACCAAAAAATACTTTAATTTAAACATTTTTCACGTGAAAAATTATATCAATCAAACACAATAATTTACAATTCCCAAGAAAACAATTTTTCATCAATTCAATTTCTTGAAATTCGTTTTCTTTCCATTCAAATTCTACTTTTACAATCAAACGGACCCTAATTGTTATATATGCGTGAAAAATTATATCAATCAAACACAATAATTTACAATTCCCAAGAAAACAATTTTTCATCAATTCAATTTCTTGAAATTCGTTTTCTTTCCATTCAAATTCTACTTTTACAATCAAACGGACCCTAATTGTTATATATGCATTAGTGCTATTTAAATGACTCTCGGAAATTTAGGCTCCACATATGGTAAGCAAGGAAGGAAATTCATATTGTGCTCACAGTGGACCACTCTCCCTAGACGATTATTACAGTTTTATATGGCATTTCTAAATGACATGATTGCTCTTGGAAGTGCTACTTCCAATATAAACTATACGGGCATCTATCAGGGGCGAATTCAGCATCGGAGTTCAGCTAGGGCGGATTTTGGCTATTGTCCATTGATCGTTGACCATCAATGATTGTAATAGCGAGACCATTAAATTTAATTATTTTGGTGCGTATCTAATATCGAACTTCAGCTAGGATGGAGTTTAACTATTGATCGTTGACCAAGAAAAGCTCTAGAAGGGTGGGGGTATGGTGACATGGTCCAAGCCCTCACTTCCACTAACATATTCCAGGCATATAAACAATTGAAAAGTGAGATTTCTAATTAAATGATCAGACTACACTCATTCCTGTTCTGGAATTCAATTATTCCTTCATTTCTTAACAACTAAAGTAAATGCCTCTAAACAAACGGATTCAGAAACAAAAGCTTATTTATGAACTAAATTTAGCTACAGACAAGTAAAGGCTCTTGTTTGCACAAAAAATACAGGGACCTCACCTCAATGCAATGCAATGAAGGCAAAAGTGTCAACTGAACTCAAGAATTGAGATCAGCAATAATTTTTCCAGTTATCATAATCTGTATGTAAATTAAACTTAAAACTTAAATTATCATCAATTTCCAATTTCTAATTTCCAACACTAATTGAACATTTCTCACAAGTCATAAAATTCCCAATTTACAAACCACAGTCACAAATTCACAAAATTTACAAATTTCCCAATTTCATAAATCATAATCATCACATTTAACATAATAATCAAATTAAGGCATCAAAATGAAAAGGAAAAAAAAAAAACAGAATAGCTTACCACTTACCAGACACCAGTCACTCGCAGTCGCAGCCACTGGTGATCGACTCACCGTCCACTCAACTCGCATGCCTCACGATCGCACCACTCCAGTGACTCCACCATCCACCTCCTCGTCGCTCACGATCACAGGCCACACACGCTCACAGTCACTGGTCACTGTCCACTCAACTCACACCACTTTGCCAGGCACCAGTCCATAGTCCACTGCCTTCACAATCGCAAATCGCAATCGCCCTTTTCCAAGTTTCGGTTCAACCCTTGGTTTATTGGTTTCAATTTTGGACTTCAAATTGTTGAAGGCAACTGGCAACGGAAATATACTCCAACCGTCCATTAATTTCAAGGAATTGGGCCACTGGATTTGAGCCTCATTTTTTTTTTAAAAAGGCCCAAAAATGAGAAAAAAAAATAGGCCCAATTGCCATCATCTTCTTCATCAGTTCTTCGGCCTCTGCAGCTCCTTTACCTCCTCTCCGATTTTCTTCCCAGCGGACCAACTGCTAAGCCTGCTATTCTGTAGAATCTGGCGAAGCCAGCACGGGCGGCCGCGCAAGCTCGCCAGGTGCTGGCTCCGCCACTGGCATCTATCTTGTGCCTGTGATCCTTAGGGA